TCACATCTCTAGTATACATAAAACACTCACATGAGCTAACTTCATGGTGTACTGTTCAGTCTCGTCCTTCTGGATTTGCTGTGTAACGTTAAACTGCATCCGTTCCTCAGCCAGGGACTGTCGCTCACGATGAAGCTGTGACAACAATGACTTCTCATCCTCCAATAGCGATTCCTGAAAAATAAAACTGGCTTTCTTAAATACAGGTTTAAATAAATAATTCAAAATTACTTTTTCAAGCTGGTTCAATGTCTTAACTAGTTGTCAGTTTTAAAATGATTTATTCTTGTTGTTTCTATGCTGACTCTATGACTAGCCTTCACACTACCAGTAGGGTCCTCGTAACGTTCACCTTTACTTACTCTAGTCTTCTCTATATTAGCCCTATCCCTAGCCTGCTGTTCTGTCCAAAGTTGTCGTTCTTCTTCTAGAGCCACTTGTAGACTATGAAGACGATTATGTTCCTGCTTTGCCTTCCATCGTTCCTATAATAGAAATTGATATACTGTGGTAGTCACATGCTAATGAATGTACATAATGATGTTAGCTGTGGCTTGATGGATAACTCTTATTTGCTGACAAAGTGGATGAGGAACAAAACGTTCTGTGGGTTTTTTAATTGAATAATGCAACCTTGTACCCGTATCTTCATTTGGAAGGGATGTGGTGTTTATTGTAATTGGGTCACTCTGATTTTATTTTCATCATATAATTTTTTCATTGACTGAAGTCCAAAATATAGATGGCAGTGGCCTATAAGGTAATTTTGGCACACACCTCTCCTACATGTATCTATATATTAAGTTTGATGATCTTACATGAAATAGTATGGTAGAAAAACCAATGTTTCCTTGACTGAGGGCGGAGTTCAAAATATAGGTCAGTGGCCTACTAGTACTGAACACTTTCCCTAATGTACCCTCTTAAAAAGGCAGACAGACAGGGATGCACTGACAATGGGGAATATTAATTTCCTAATTCATGGAAGTAGTGACATGAATATACTTCTTATAAAAGTTTCAAAATGAAAACTGCTTACAAGTCTGACTTATCCTTAGAAGGTGCCTTGTCAACCCTATTACAACAAAAACCTAAACGTATGTCAAATTGACGAAGACAATTTTTATTAACTGAGATTACTATTAAGCCATTTATCTTTTTTGCAATCCAACTGTTGATCCACCAAATTGTCAATATCAACACTGCTATCTGAGTTATATTCCTGGTCAAGGATTTACCTCGTCCATCTGGCGATTCTGCTCCCGGAGTTGGGCTTCTAGTCGGTTGGTCAGCTCGTTCAATCTCTGACGCTCCGAATCATTGTCTTCCTGCTGCTTGGTCAGTCGCTCCTGTAAAACTGATAAAACAGGTTATGTAAGTTATAACATCTACCTAGGACATATACAAACAAGTGCATAGCATCCTGTTACTTCAAACATATATAGAGAGTTTGAGTTATGAATGTTTTATGAACAACAAGGCAGGATAAACTCTA